CACTTTTTCTCTTGCTAGTTTTTTATCACTCAGCCTCAACGTTTCTAGTTTTGGATAGAGTTAGGACGTGATATATCTTCTGTTGTGTTCTGTGTCCCTGCTGGGGGGATCTCCAATTATTTCTGTCTTTTTTTGACAGATCAGGAAAAAAAATGGAAATGAGAAGACATTTTTATAACCGGGGAAATGACAATAAATAATATTTATAGCAGAGTGCGTACGGGTTAGAACTCCTGTCGGGTAATGATTTTCTTGGAGGGGGCACCTTACAAGTCCAGCATTCAGTTAGGCCCTACGTCACCGATAACCCAAAACATAACACTAACCTGAAGGCCTCATGCACGCTGGGAGTTTTAAAAATGCCAGTAGCGTTCGCTGTATAAAGTCACGTTAAAAACACAAGTTTTTCTGCGGTTTTTAGCATTTCTGCATTAGCGGTTTGCCGCGTTTTTGTACACACAAAAAATCATTAAAATCTTGGCTCAAAAAATGCTAAACACCAGATTGCTGCATTTTACCACCTTTTACCAGAGTTAGAGAATTTTTTACAGCTAAACCCCCCCCCCAAATGTTGATTAAAGCCTATGTGTGCATGGCAGGGGCGGACTGACAACTCATGGGGCCCCCAGGCAATAGGGGATCATGGGGCCCCTGTGTCCCTGCCCAAACTCAAAAAAGCCTATGAAAACGGTTCCAGGGGCATCTCATGGGGCCCCCTACTGACCCCGGGCCCTCGGGCAGTGCCCAAGTTTCCAAATGGTTAGTCCGCCCCTGGCGCATGGATTCATAGGCTAACATGCTGGGGAGTTTTCTGGCTGTAGAAAAAAAACGGCAAAAGCCAAAAACAGCCGCTGTAAAAACGTCCAGTGTTCTAACAATGTTAAAACCACAGTTTTGATGAAGATCTTGAGCATTCACTTTCCAGCTTCCTCACGGAGATATAACCTATGATTCTAAAATTATATAAACAAAGCCAAAATAAGAATACAACATGCTAAAAGAATATCAAAAAGAGTAACATCTATAGCAAACAGGTATTCAAATTTACCAGATGATGGCATCAAAAGGTTTATAAAAAGCCAACGGCAAACGTGACCATTGGATCCAAAGAGGGAGGGTTCCTCTATCAAAGTGAGAATGAGGCCAAATGCATAGTCCAAACCCCTAACCTAACCCTTAACCACTTGCCCTCCAGAGGATTTACCCCCCTTCATGACAAGGCCATTTTTTGCGATACGGCGCTGCGTTACTTTAACTGACAATTGTGCGGTCATGCAACGCTGCACACCCAAATGAAAAAGACAAACAATTTTGAGAAAAAAAAAACGATATTTTTGACTTTTTGCGATTAAACATGTCCAATAAAAAATGTAAAAAAATCTAATTTTGTCATAACTTTAGGGCAAAATGTATTCTGCGACATGTCTTTGCTAAAAAAAATCCCAATACGTGTAAATTAATTGGTTTACGTGAAAGTTTTATAGTGTTTACAAATGGTGGTATAGATACTGGAATTTTTTTTTTTTTTACTAGTAATGGCGGTGATCAGTGACTTATAGCGGGACTGCGGCAGGCACTCTGACACTGGGGGGAACTGACTTGGTGTCACTGGCATCCCCAGTGACACCAATACAGTGATCAGTGCTAATAAAAAGCATTGACACGCATCAAGCGTTTTTTTTCTGCCAGAACGCTGCTGCTTCTGGACAAACTGGCCCTGTTTTTTTTTTTTTTTCCTGCCACTAAAAGCTCCTAAAAGTCTATGTGTAGAGTACATGGACACATAGGATAACATAGAGCAGTGGTTCTCAACCTGTGGGTCATGACCCCTTTGGGGATCGAACAACCCTTGCACAGGGGTCGCCTAAGACCATCGGAAAACACATATTTCCGATGTGTAAAGAGCAGCTACTGTGTAGAAAGCAGCTACTGTGTAGAAAGCAGCTACTGTGCTGAAAGCAGCTAGTGTGCAGCTACTGAAAGCAGCAGTATTGGAGGTAAAACGACACTTCATGAATTATAATTACTGGGTAAATAATTTTATGGTTGGGGGTCACCACAACATGAGGAACTGCATTAAAGGGTGGCGGCATTAGGAAGGTTGAGAACCACTGACATAGGGGGAACCAACCTTCAAAGAGGGACGTTTACAAGCAGTAAGGGTCACACTATAGAAATACAGTCCAGATGCGTTCTGGTGTGTTTTTGACATGTTTTGGTGCATTTTTGATGCTTTTTGGTTCATTTTTTTCCCCCCTCTCTTTTTCTTCAATTTAATTAGGGACATGTGCGTTCCAGTGCATTTTTGGTGCGTTCCAGCGCGATCCGGTGTGTTTTTGATGCGTTTTACCACGTTCCAGTACAGTTCTGTGCGGGAAAAAAATCAGCCTGTTCTACTTTTTTTTTTTTTTAAACTGCAACCAGAACTCACTGGAACTGCAAGCACTGATGTGAACTATGACATTGACAACCATATAACCTACTTTCTGTGCATTTTGGATGCAGGAAAAAAAAGCAACTGAAACGCATGGAGTGTGAACTGGCTGTGAAAAAAACAAAAACAAAACATCTGATGCCCCTAAAAGGGGCTGCAAAAACGCCCTGTGCGCATGAGGCCTAAAAGTTAACTTGAAATCAAAGAGGTAAAGTGGCTGCAATTGCAGAAGAGTTGCAAGTTAGAAGAGCAGCCTAGTGACAACCATGGCCCCCTCCATGGATACAGTGCAGTGTGTGAGCGTTGTCACCAAAAGACAGGAAGTGTGTTACTGACTGGATCACCAGGGGATAATAAAGGGAGGGAGGGGGGGGGGGAGAGAGAGAAAACTAGTGCAGCCACCAAATGTAAGGACTGTTAAGCTGTAATATATTACATTTTTGTTTTGGATTTAGATAAACTTTAAATACCAGTATTGTTAATTATAGAACAGATTGTCGTACTCTTCCAGTATCATTAGCAGCTTTTGTAATAATATCTCTGTAACCCATTCTGTGGAATTCTAATCCCATTGATGCTAATTTAATTAACTTTACACTAATGGGGCCAGTTCATTCTAAGCGTATTAAATTTTAATCAAGTCAAACTTTTAAGACTTTAACTAACTAACTGATTATCTGCTTATGAAACTCTTACAGTTTACTTTATTGTGTTGCAGATTTTTTTAGAAGAACCATATTTTTGAGTGTGGCAATGCGCCTTAATCATAATATACATATGGTTCTCCATTTTTTGCAATCATTTTTTTTTTTTCCTTTCTCTTCCTCCTTTTTTTTTTTTTTTTTTTTCCCTGGAACTAATGGTTTTCATCGATAGTTGCGATCATCTCTACAACAAATAATAAAAAAAGCTTCTTTTTGGAAGCCAGACTCTTTAGATTGTAGACCAGAATGTAAAGCCCAGGTGGGTATGGTGTCCCTCATCACCACAACCTCTTGGTTTTATACGTTCTTCTTGGTCCCAAACCCTACTTCATTGAAGCGATTTTGGCATTTTCTACAGGTGCCAAACTTGTTCCCTAATACCATAATCTATGGTTTTGCATCATCCTAATTACATGTACGCTGGTCAGGCTCAGATCCGATTTTAGTTATGCCCCCCCCCCAGATCTCTGAGATTGCATCCACTAATCCATGAGACTTGTTGGGGACATTTGATCTAGGGAGGCACTCTGATGGGGCATTTGATGTGAATGGGCACACTGATAGGGGCAGTTGTTGCTGATGAGGACTCCTGATGTAAGGAGGGATAAAAGGGGGCACACATTCTGTTTATTCATCCCAGTCTGACTGGTACCCTGTATCTCTGTCCCACTATTGACATTATGCCCCCTGACGTATTTTACTGCACCTCCAGATCATATAGGTTAGATCCAGCCCTGGCGATTATCCTGCAATGATTTACAATGTAGGCGTAATGATGTTGACAGGAGGGGTGGCAACAAGACCAGTCAGAGACAGTAATGCAGAGCAGCTTCAGCTGTCTGGTCTTCTCCATCGGAAGCGGCAGGATTGAAGATCATGGGACCGAGGATTTAAGGTACAGTCAGTATTAAGGGTGAGGGAAAGGTGGGAGGTGGAGAGAAAATAACTCTCCCTATCCTTGTATAACGGTTTTACTGGTACCACACCCCTAATGAAATACAGTATTTTTCACTCCATAAGATGCACCTGACCATAAGACGTGCCTAGGTTTTAGAGGAGAAAAAAAAATATATATTCTGAACCAATGGACTGCAGACATAGTACAGGAGATGACCAGAGACTGCGGACACGGTACAGGAGATGACCAGAGACTGCGGACACGGTACAGGAGATGACCAGAGACTGCGGACACGTTACAGGAGATGACCAGAGACTGCGGACACGGTACAGAAGATGACCAGAGACTGTGGCCATGGTACAGGAAATAACCAGAGACTGCGGACACGGTACAGGAGATGACCAGAGACTGCGGACACGGTACAGGAGATGACCAGAGACTGCGGACACGGTACAGGAGATGACCAGAGACTGCGGACACGGTACAGGAGATGACCAGAGACTGCGGACACGGTACAGGAGATGACCAGAGACTGCGGACACGGTACAGGAGATGACCAGAGACTGCGGACACGGTACAGGAGATGACCAGAGACTGCGGACATGGTACAGGAGATGACCAGAGACTGTGGATACGGTACAGGAAATGACCAGAGACTGCGGCCATAGTACAGAAAATGACCAGAGACTGCGGCCATAGTACAGGAGATGACCAGAGACTGTGGATACGGTACAGGAAATGACCAGAGACTGCGGCCATAGTACAGGAAATGACCAGAGACTGCGGACATAGTACAGGAGATGACCAGAGACTGCGGACATGGTACAGGAGATGACCAGAGACTGTGGATACGGTACAGGAAATGACCAGAGACTGCGGCCATAGTACAGGAAATGACCAGAGACTGCGGACATAGTACAGGAGATGACCAGAGACTGCGGACACGGTACAGGAGATGACCAGAGACTGCGGACACGGTACAGGAGATGACCAGAGACTGCGGCCATAGTACAGGAAATGACCAGAGACTATGGACATGGTACAGGAGATGACCAGAGACTGCGGACACAGTACAGGAGATGACCACAGACCATGGACATGGTACAGGAGATGACCAGAGACTGCGGACATAGTACAGGGAATGACCAGAGACTGCGGACATAGTACAGGAGATGACCAGAGACTGCGGACACAGTACAAGAAATGACCAGAGACTGCGGACACAGTACAGGAAATGACCAGAGACTGCGGACACAGTACAGGAAATGACCAGAGACTGCGGACACAGTACAGGAAATGACCAGAGACTGCGGACACAGTACAGGAAATGACCAGAGACCGCGGACATGGTACAGGAAATGACCAGACTGCAGACAGTACAGGGGATGACCAGAGACTGCGGACCTTTGGGGAGAGAGGGGAAGCAGGTACCTGAATTTGACAGGTACCCTGCTCCCACTTCCACGGAGTTGTCCTCACTTTAGTGTGGGCACCCGGCTGTCATGAGAAGCGCAGCACTTTGTGAATGGCCCGACGTCTTCTGGGACCTGTCATGTGTCCCAGAAGACACCGGACAATTCACAAAGTGCAGTGCTTCTCACGCATGCACAGTGGGCACCCGGCTGTCACAGCCGGGTGCCCTCACTAAAGATGCCGGCACCGGAAGAGTGTACAGCGCTGGACCGAGGAACAGGTAAGGTCCTGCTGCAGAGAAGAGCTGAGTGGCCGGCCCGGGATTCTGACACGGTGGCGGTGGTGGAAATACCGGACCAGCCGCTCCATATTCGCTCCATAAGACGCACTGACATTTTCCCCCCTTTTTTGGGGGGAAAAAAGTGCATCTTATGGAGCGAAAAATATGGTAATTGAAAAGAGAACCCTTTATTGTTGTTGTGGGGACAACAATATTGAATTTGTACACGGTCATAGCTGTGATTCGAGGTAAGCCCTCAGACTATAGTTTTGCCTTTGAGGGAGTTTTAGGAGGATGCTAAGGAATTGTACATCCACTGTTGTCTTGTATCTCTTTGCGGCTGCCATAGTTAGATGTTCCATCTACATCATGGAGACTCGCCCATCCTACTCCATCCAATTATATGTACAGTTGTGTTCAAAATAATAGCAGTCAGACATCACTAACCGGATCAATCACTGTTTTTGGTAGAAATGATATTTCTACATGGCAAATAATTTACTAGCAGGTGTAGTAGAGTAATAGAAATCCAACAGACCCAACAGTCATGACATGCATGCTGCTGATTCTGTGTAATTGAATCACTAATTGAAATGGGCATGTTCAAAATAATAGCAGTGTGGAGTTCTATTAGTGAGGTCATTCATTCTTTAAAAAACAGGTGGCAATTATTGCCCTTATTTAAGGAAGGAAGGCAGCAAATGTTGTACATGCTGGTTACAGTGCATTTCTCTCTGAAATTCTGAGGAAAATGGGTCGTTCCAGACATTGTTCAGAAGAACAGCGTACCTTGATTAAAAAGTTGATCGGAGAGGGGAAAACATATAAAGAAGTGCAGAAAATGATAGGCTGCTCAGCTAAAATGATCACAAATGCTTTAAAATGGCAACCAAAACCTGAAAGATGTGTAAGAAAGCGAAAAACTACCAATCGAATGGATAGAAGAATAGCCAAAATGGCAAGGACTCAGCCAACAATCAGCTCCAGGAAGATGAAAGAAGGTGTAAAGTTCCCTGTGAGTATTACAATTAGAAGACGCCTATGTGAAGCCAAGGTATCTGCAAGAAGACCCCGCAAAGTCCCACTGTTGAAAAAAAAGACACACAGTATGCTGAAGAGGTTACAATTTGCCAAAGAGCACATTGACTGGCCTAAAGAGAAATGGTGCAACATTTTGTGGACTGATGAAAGTAAGATTGTTCTTTTTGGGTCTAGTGGCCAGAGACAGTTTGTCAGACGACCCCCAAACACTGAATTCAAGCCACAGTACACTGTGAAGACAGTGAAGCATGGTGGTGCAAGCATCATGATATCATGATATGGGGATGTTTCTCATACTACGGTGTTGGGCCTATTTATCGCATACCAGGGATCATGGATCAGTTTGAATACATCAGAATACTTGAAGAGGTCATGCTGCCTTATGCTGAAGAGGAAATGCCCTTGAAATGGGTGTTCCAACAAGACAACGACCCCAAACACACCAGTAAACGTGCAACATCTTGGTTCCAGACCAACAAGATTGACCGTATGGAAGGCCAGCCCAATCCCCGGATCTTAATCCAATAGAAAACTTGTGGGGTGACATCAAAAATGCAGTTTCTGAGGAAAAACCAAGAAATAGAGAAGAACTGTGGAATGTAGTCCAATCATCCTGGGCTGGAATACCTGATCACAGGGGCCAGAAGTTGGTTGACTCCATGCAACACAGATGTACAGCAGTTCTCAGAAACAGTGCTTATACAACCAAATATTTATTAAGTGATTCAAAGGAAAGCAAAATCTTCAAACATTTTTCAGTTTATATAGTGAATGTTTGAGTTTGTAAAGAAGAATACAAACTGCTATTTTTTTGAACAGTCTAATATTCACTTTTCTTCAATTTTTTTTAGAGGAACAACACAAATTTGATCTATTTTTCTTCATGTTTTGATTTGGAATAGAATGTGTCGTGTTCCCAATGCATTTGTGTGTATGGAAACAAAAGCTATTAGAAGGATTTTGAGCTTTATTTACTTTTTTAGAGAGAGAGAGAGAACACATGGATTGAGTTTTGGCCAATTCAGCAGGAATCGGAGGACCTTCAAGCCATGGATGGCACAGCAGGCACCATAGGCTCAACAAGCTTCTATTGAAAAATAGTTGGCTGAAGGATGACCGCATCAATCCAACACAGTCATTTTTCAAGTATTCAGAAAGCCATGGATGCTGCAGCTATCTGGCTACAACAGTCAGCAATGAGGGCTTCTCCTTCCACGCTGTGTATCCTGAATAGGGGAATCAAGGGATTTTCTGTTATTAAGCCCATGGGCTGAACGAGAGAAATTTAAAAGTATAAGCCTGGCATAGAACCTGAGATTGAAGATGCAGTTGGAATCTCTAAAACACATAAGAATCTGGTAGGCGATTTACCCTCAGAGCTGACCCTCCAATTCATTCACTATTGGATCCTGCAGTTTTTTTCCACCTGGACCTACAAAACCCCTTGTGGATACAAAATTACGTATCTTTTTTGTTCTTTTTTTTTTTCTACACATCTTCACAAGGACATGCAAGCAATCTAAGAATTTCTCTAATTGCAATTTGTAAGCCAAGAGATTATTGGATCAGTCAGATTAATGCACCTTTGTCCTGAGCGGTAATTACAGCAGTATTACAGTGATTTGTACAAAAACTGAGAAAATCAGCCTTACCCAGCATACGTGACCTGGAACCCATCGGCATGCTCTTTATCTTAGTACTCTAATGTGCTGTTATAGAGCTTGTAGCGTCAACGGATATTGCATTGGGTATACCCTGCACATCAGAGGTCAGTTCAGTTCATAGTGAGTAAATAATGAGTCCATATATAGTTCTAGTTATTGTCTTTTATTCCAGGTTCCTTCTTATTACAAGTCCAGGTCGTTATTGCCATAAACTTTTTATAACCATGCAGATGACACCTAGAGGTCTATTAATAGATAGTTACACACCAAAAGCCACCAATTTTATTTTTGATGACATTCTATTGAAAAAATGTGGGAATCCTGGGAGAAGGTTATTTGAATCTTATCAATCAATAGACCCCTTAAAGTGGATCTCCACCCAAAAGGGGAAGTTCCGCTTTAAGGACTGCTGCTCCCCACTCCCCATTAAGGATTGGCACCTTTGGGGGGGCAGGGGGGAGCGGGTACCCGAATTTGACAGGTACCCGCTTCCATTTCCGCTCTGATCGCCTAGGCGATCGGAAGTGGAAGGTGTCCTCCCTCCCTCCTTGTAGTCTTTTGGGACACGTGACAGGTCCCAGAAGACTACAGGACCATTCATGAAAGCGCAGCACTACTGGCGCATGCGCAGTGGGTACCCGGCTGAGAAGCCACAAGCTATCACAGCTGGGTGCCCACACTGAAGATGCCGGCCTCCTGGAATCCGGCAGTTTTTGTAGCTGCTGACTTTTATTTTTTGACAGGTGAGTGAAACTCCGCTTTAAGCTGGCCATACACTAGTAGATTTTCAAACGAACGTTGATACAAATATTCATATGAACATTTGTCTCAAAAAAATTCTCAGTGCATTAATTCCACCTACGCTCTTAGGTCCCCTTTCTACTACAGGACCTAGCTTTCCGTTGGGGCTACCCCCGCCGTTCCCTCACTTCCTCTGACTCTCCCTTTTCCTGAGTACTCTTCTTTTTCCCACCACCCTTACCCATCCATGTCACCACATGCTACCACTCCTTGTTCCCCCTCCGCTCTTTCCTGTCCCATACCTCCATGTCCCTGTTTCACGCCCCCCCTCCCCCCCCTCCCCCCTGCCCTTTTACCCCCATACCCCCCCCCCTTTTTTTTTCAAGCCTATGGATAACCTGGTCATACTTGGCACGCATACTTTCCTTTCTACATGCTGCCTTAGGCGGTAGCCACCTACTCCCCAAAGTTGATTACGAGATACCAAGCCCATACTATGACCCCCACCCTAGTATAGATTGACTTGCAGCTCTGACATTTTTGGTTTTTATCTCCTGATGCCAATATCTTATTATCCTCTACGTTTTTTCAATACCTGCTTTTCAGTTTTCTCATTTACCCGTTGAGCGTTATACCCATGTATTGTTTTCTGCCGGATGCAGGAATTCCTACATCCTTCGTGATTGTACCTGTATGTGATACAAACGTCCTTTTGTTGATCTCATTCTCTGTCCTGATATTATGTTACCTTTTTGTTACATTTTTTCTGTGTTATTGCATTGGAATTGTAACTTTGGCTTGAAGCCTTCCAATAAAATATTTGAACAAGAAAATTCTCCAGTACATTCAATGTTTTGACAAATGTTGTTAAAAAGTACTTCAATATTTCCTTTGTTTTTAACACTCCATTTTGGAATGAATCGCTGCGGTTGAAACTAATGTTGATTTGACCTTACTGGTAATTAGAAAATCAAGCGAACGTTCTAAGAAATAAAAATTTCAATTGAATTTCTATTAGTGTATGGCCAGCTTGGATTGATTGCCATGGGCCAACAATAACCTTTCTTTGGCACACTCTTGATACAAGAGGCTGTAACATTAATTACAGGAAAACTCTACTTCTTATATTCTCTGATATTTTTCTCTATTGGCTAATAAAAAAAATGCCTGAAAAATGCTCAATAAAAGCGCAAACAAAAAAAAACACTCGAAAGCCACTTAACCTCTTGACGCCAACGTAACACAAATATGCGGCCTCACAGAATTGGGTTTTTTTCTGTGGGGCCGCATATTTGCGTACCTGTCTTTGTGCTGGGAGCGCACCGCACAGCATGCTCCCAGCACAAAGACCGGGCTGTCACTGAGAGCCCCGGGTCCCGTTCTAACGATTGGGACCCCTGATTCCGGGTCACATGATCATTCTGGCTATCACAGTGATCACTCACTGTACAGCCCACCCCCCTTGTTTTTTTTGTCCCTCAGAGTGGAGGAGAGAGATACATTGTATCTTTCTCTCTCCTTGCATCGAGAAAAAACAACAACTGTTTTTGTTAAAAATATAAATAAATATTTAAAAATACAATAAAGGAAATAATACCTAGATCGACGTTTGATCTAGTTCAGTGCCAGG